GTGTGTGTGTGTGTGTGTGTGTGTGTGTGTAATGAGGCAAGCAAAGTAATGTAATAATGTTTATTTTTCTTTTGTTGTTTAGTTTAGAGTTCCAGGAATAGGTCTCAGGGTGACGTTTGACATGTAAAGTCGGGTTTTCGGGTTCAAGTGAAGACTTGCTCCTTTCAAGTACAGCGAGGAGGAAGAGGAAGTGCCGATGTGGCTTCATGCTGACGAGGCACACAGAATTACTCCGAGGCTTGATTTATGGTCTGCGTTGAGCGTGCAGGACAGAACCACACTGGAAACCATCGAACCAGAACCTGACAGATCAGCCAAACAAAATACTGTCCAAACTCTGCTACAGTGTCAGGCTCCTGCCAGAAAGCCGAACGAAAACATCAGGAGGGAAAAAACCCAAACTGGGCGAAGCTGAGGAGTTAACCAGTGAATATAAATACATTTAGACTTAAAGAAAATGAAGAAAGAGTAATGCAAGAAGGGATAAATAAAGAAGAAAAAAAGGTGTCATTTTCCTAAAACATCTGTTTGTCATTTAGCTTCCATTGGCTGCTGCTGCTGAATGTGTGTCACTGAAATACGACCACGTCTTCATTCTGCATTAAGGATTATCTTTTACACTATAGCTCTGAAGAATGGGAGGAATAGCTTGTTTCAAAAGAGAACCGAAAAGAGGATCATGAAAAATGACAAAAGAACGGAGACGAGAAAAAGATGAGCTGATGTGAATCAGCCGGTTTGAGAAAGACTCGGCCCACAGTTTGATACGAAGCATCTCAAAGTCATCTACCTCCTGGTACTCGCTCTTTTCATGGACCATCAGTCTTTTTTTTTTGTCTGAAATCCTTTTTCATCTGAAGGTGGCATAAATTTTAATGACTGATTTGTACTGGTTCCGAATGATAAAGGAGAAAGAGCTGAGCAAATTCACCTCCCCCACTTTTTTTGTCTACTTATTTTATTTTTTTTTACTCTCACTTGGAAAGATTGCGCAGCTGAATAGCGCTGCTTTATGCCATTTCTGAGCGTTTAGTCTCGTCTTCCATAATACCAAATCTCGGACGAGCAAATGGAAAGTGATCCTGGAAGGGTGAAGCAGCTCAGCTCTGTGGTGGAGGTGGAAATGTCTCTGAAGATAAGGTTGTGTTTACTTTGGTTATCACATGTTGCCACAGACAGACATCAGATGCAGCTGCAGCCCACGTCTCTATTGCAACGTCAGAATAAATTCTGTCCGAGTCACGATGTCAAAGCATAAATTTATTCCAAGTTCTTTGCACTTTGAATATGTTTTAAAAAGCTAATTATCACGTTGATTGATTCCCCTTATGTGTGTGAATATTGCAGTTCTAATTTGATGAAATCATCTAGAAGTGTTTCCCAAAGTTGGGGTCGGGACCCAAAGTGGGGTCCTGAAACATCAAGGTGGGGTCCTGAAACATCAGGGTGGGGTCCTGAAACATCAAGGTGGGGTCCTGAAACATCAAGGTGGGGTCCTGAAAAGATTTTCT